TGTTGGGTCAAATTTGTGTGGAGGTTGAAAAATACAAGGGGGTCTTTATGGCCCAAAATAGTGATTTTAGACCACATTGGTAATGTAATTCGACAGGCAAATTACAGTAATATTTTTAGCAAATTTCTTCGAAAAATTTTTGTAGGCATAGGGCCTAGCTAGGTATACAGTAATTTCATTTTACAGTAGTTTGGAACAATATCAGGAGTGGGGGTGGTGGCAGTGCCCTACTGGGACTACAACTTATTTGAAGCTATCTTGGGTCCGATCGTCCACACCAGTTTCGTCTGTCACCCGAAGTTTTCATTACGACGATCAAGAACGTACACTATCTAGGCCCTAGGCTAGGCTTAGATTGCTGCCGTCACTCTGCTACGTATACTACTACCACAAGAAAGCGACCCACGTGGTGCATTTTTAAATTTTACACACATTATTAAAATGTATTAGACGATAACATATCACTGACTGAACAATCTACCACCCTCGCATCGCAGTAACTACTGTACTGAACTAGGCCTAGCTTTCAGGCCTCATGTTTTTGTGGAAAGTTAGACAGTCGTTATGTATCCGACAGTCAGCTGCCTTTATATCTTCACTTGTCTTCAATTTGCATTCAAAGGGTACATTGCTGCATAGCCAACTGTCGGGGATATAGTACCTTCATATGACTACTCATACAAAAAAAAAAAACGTCGCATGGAGTTAGTGAAAAATGGAGATCTAAATGAAAAAACGATGTATTTCAGCAAGTATTAAAACCTTTTTCTTTTATTTTAGGCCTTCTTCAAAATACCTATGCCACAGCAGTTGATTTTTTTTGCCGTAAAACCAAAATAGTTTCATCCATGCCGACTTGCCATCGGTTAGCGTGAGCCCTGACTGAACTCTGCAGAAACTTCACATCGAACTTCTCATCGCGAGGTAAAACAAAATGTCGGAAAACTTTTCTTTGACGCATGCGCATTTGCATAAATGTCTACACACACACGCACACACATACTACACACAATAAAAAACAAAGGAAAAAGAAGAGTGATTACAATAGTTCCAATTCATTGCATGCATAGGAACTAAAAAGTAGTGGATATGTAGCTTGGTGGTTCAGATGCTTGCTTTCCAATCCCAGTATCTTGGGTTCAAATTTCGTAACCACACAGATTTTTTCACATGACTGAAAACATTACATTATATATTTAATAGGGCTCCCTGACTGGATATGTCAACTTTTATAATAAATATGAATGTCTATTATTTTTTAATTAATATTATTACAGAAGAGGAGACACTTACTTGATTGATAGTGTTGCAGCCTTTGGTTATGGCACCTAGATATGCCATAAGACATACATCATTACATTGCTGAAAATATACAAATAACAACAATATTATTAACAACCTCTAGAGGGCACAATTAAAAAATAAAAAGTTGAGATTGACGATGAAATTTTAAAGCCTGAAACCTTAAATTGTGATTCTGAAATGCCAATTAATGAAAATTTTGTCAAGAGGCACGTGGTTCTAAAGTTGTAGTGGTTTTCGCATTTCTGTTAGTGTTTGGTTCCCAACCTCGATTGAAACTCTTGCAAAGAAACCTTGTGTCTTTAATAAGCAAGACACTTTATATACATTGCTTCAGTCTACCCAGCTGTATCAATGAGTACCAGCGAATTGCTGGGAGCAAACTGTGGTGGACTAGCATCCCCTCCTGGGGGAATATCCACTCTCATCCATTTATGCTACAGAAACTGGGGATACTGTAAGCTCCGGAAGGATTTACATTACTTTATATGTGGTTCTACAACTGTTATTGTAACCATATAACTGCACGCACAGGAGGGCAAACTATAGAGGGTAAAGTCTGAGGCTAAGACAGAGTAAGTCAAGGCCAAAATCCAGATTTTGTATCATACCAATACATATATTATTATAATTATTAGAATGTTGAAAATGGGAGTACTGTAGATAAATGCAACATAAAGTGCAATGATTATACTTACATTGTAGAAGTCACCATTGAATTTATCTGAACTAAGAACAGGCAGCCTGTGGCATAAGCTGTGTGCATCTCTCATAATCTCGTGATTAATAGGCACGTGGCCATTTTGTACGGCCTTCACATAGTCTAGGATCAGCTTCACACGACTGTGAAGCATCTTGATGGCGCTGTGCTGGGCCTGTAGGTGTTCAGCCACTAGACCAATAAAAAGAAACCTAAACTAAAATAATTCATATCCAGTGTTTATTAAAGTAGAATCACAGCTTTCCCATAATTCTCTTTTTATTTATAAATAATCATCATGGTAAATTATCAATCACCACAATCTTACTGTCCTCTTTTATTCTGCTAAGATGGAAACTACTCAAAGCTTTAATTATCAAGTAAACAATAAATTTACTAACGCATCACCAACACCACTACCCACCACCACCACAAAAACAACACCAACTACAACATCATCATGAAGAAGAAGACGAAATCAACTCCAATCCGTAAACCTCATATTGAGATTTAGTCTTTGTAAAGCATCATTTGTGTATGTTTGTCTTGTGAAAGGGATTATCACCGATTGTACATGTAGAACTGTGATATATTTTCCATGAGAATCCTTGGTGCCTAAATAAATTTATTTAAAAAATAGTTTAAAAAAATAGTTCAAGTAAAATATCCTTACTGGATCTAGTACTCTGATGATTAGTTGGACATACTTCCAAATGTGGCAAAAACAAGCCAAACCAGTCACTAGTCGCAAAAATCAAGATGCGTTAAAGATGAAAATGAGAGCTATAAAATAGTAAAAGAATCATTTAAATCCGACATTTCCTTACAAAGTTACAAACATTCAAACATACAGCTGTTTAAAGAACAATATTTGAAACATCAGCCTTCAAAGTTTATGACTTTTGGCATTTCTCAGGCAGAAACCATTACCAAATTGTTAAAAATTGTTGTTTTAACATTAAAAATGGGGAAAATAACAGCATAGCATGATGTATAGATATATAAAGGTTAGTTTAGTGCAATCGAATCTAATCTAATCATATTTATTTATATAGCGCCTTTCTTTGCAGATACGAAGCGCTTCTGTCCCTGGTCATTGGATCCACATGCTAAGTGTTGCTGCTGTATTCAGCGCAGGAGCAAGCAACCCGACCAGGTACCCATTTATACTCCTGGGTGGAGAGAAGCAATGCAGATAAAGTGTCTTGCTCAAGGACACAAGCGAAATGCACAGCGAGGGATTGAAACCCCGACCTCGAGGTTGGGAAACCAAACCTTTCACGCTGCGCCAAACCGCTTCCACGGAAAAAGATTTTAAAAATGTTGAAATTTGTTTTCAAAAATCATTCCATCACGTTTTGGCCATTATCTCTGCAACACGATTTGCGATGAGTGACTGGTTTAGCTTGTCTTTGCCACAAATAACAAAGGCTACTAAAACTGTAATGTTCTGTCTACACTTTGAAGTTTTATCAGAAAATTATATGCCTATATATGGGCACGATGATGTCATAGCAAAACCATATAAGGGCAAATCACTGATACTTGTCACATGTAACAGCTTGATATTGTGGACAAATCTTAATATATTTTTTAAAACTCTCCAAATGGAAATGATTGCCAAACCTTTAGAACTCTCTGCTGTTTCTGAGGACGACAGCCTGGCTACATGGTCGACACCGATTCTCTCTGCTTCCTCTGTAGCTATGGTGTACTGTAATTCAACAAACAGCATGGTGGCCTGGCCATTGACCAAGTCGATCACTGATTCACAGATTGTAACAGGTAACTGAAATTAAACACATATCAATATGCAATTAAATCAATGCACTTTAGATTTCCTTTAGTCATATAGGAAAACCATATAACTAAAATTCAATAAAAACAGCAAAATGTTCATGGGGTAAATATTATATAAACGGCAAATGAGTGAGACACAGGTGAAAAACAAATTATTTTCGGTAAAGGTAGGAGATTAACCCATAATTATTTGCAGCGACATTGTGCTGAATTGCGCACAGGCATGGTCTGTGACTACCAGCTGCTATAAAAAGGCACTTATAGTAGCTACATCTTCACATCATTTCCCAACGATAAGGGCTGAAGTGAACCCTAGAATCGGGGTAACCCAGCCTACAGTATTCTTCTGAAAGATACAATGGGTTCTCTAAAGTGTACATATGCCAGATGTGTACCACTGGACATCCACTTTTTCCGAAAAAACTTTAACGTGCACATGGGGCATTTTGCACACAGGACCAACAGCTTAAACGTCTCGTACGAAAGACAGGGCGCTTTTTGAAACTCGCATTCTAGCCTTTCAGCTGAAGCTCAAGGAGAGCAGCGGGGAACAAGCGATCTCCACAGTTCAGTGCACACACAATGTCTACCACCAGTTTAGCTGACTGAGCTAGCTGCTCTCTCGCATAATTTGTGACGTTATTTTTAGTTGAGCTCAGACCATTATTTTGGTAGATGGAATACAGACTTCAGGTCACAATATCTAATGGTTCTACATTTTGATGGCATTGACCTGTGGAAGCGGTTGGAGCAACGGATGTGTTTCTCGATATCTCATTTTCAACGTTGAGGTAGGGGTTCGAATCTTCCCTTGGGAAGTTGCTTGTGTCCTTGGGCAGTTGCTTGTGTCCTTGGGCAAGAAACTTTATATGTCTATCCAAGAGTATAAATGGGATGCTGTGGTGTTGATTGTACTAGTTTCATGTACTGAGTATACACACACACATGGCTAGATGTACTCGCAAGGAAGTAGAGAAGGAGCTGGTTTGCCAATAATATATGTTATGCAATGACAAAGAGTAATTAATAATGCTTAAGCACCTTTGATCATTGATTTGGAATTGGCTTGGAACCCCTACCTTAATTATAACCAGTACCTAACCATCAAAAGTTTACTTACATCTGTATGTCTTGACATCGGGTTCAGCTTCAGGAAAATGGGACTTTCATTTATCTCACAAATCTAACAGAAAATTAAATCAACATGTAAAAGATATACTTGAACGACTTAATCTGGTTGTTTTGGTGTACTTATGTTTCTTTTTGATGACCAACCAATAAGTAAGTCACACTTACATTAATTATAAAAAAATAATAATATCATAGAAGGGAGTTTTATTTGAATATAGAAACTCAATTAGAATGGGAACATAGACAGTAAAAAGAAATTTGATTTGACAAAAATGACCATCAGAATCAAATGTTTTTACTTGTGATATAAAAAATTATAAAATATTATTAATAATAATTATAATAATAATACGCACTTGTTTATGAACTTTGATGTCAGACTTATCTGGAGGTCCTCCTGATGTGTACCAACCCAGGAAATCATCCTGGAAGATTTGTTTGACTGAAGCCATAATAATAATATTAAGATTAATAAAAATGATTGTAATATAATTGAGGTATGGCATGGTGGTTACGGTCACTTTTCTTTTTTTCAAATCCCAGGTCCTGCGTTTAACCCCACACATGGATTTCGTTGCAGAGAGAAAACGACAGAAAAGAAATATTTCAACTGATAATACTGGGCAAATCTGAGCGGAAACCGGCCCTTGTTTTCCAAAATGTGCGGGCAGATTGCTAAGACTAATTGCGCACAGAGGATACCGTATGTTCCCTGCAAAGGCCTTAATTTACATTCTGGCATTTATATACAATTTTAAACTACCTAACATTAAATTTTTAATTTTACTGACAAATGCAGTTTATTCTCAGGTCACAATACATTACTTTACTTACACTGCTCTTCTTTGGTATTGTAATATTCCCTGTCAATTACAATATCGCCCTCTATCAATTCAAACATCAACTCAAAAGAATTCATGATCTCGATGTTGCGGCCCGTTTGCTTGCCAATAATTGCTCCAAACACTGAATAAAATAAAAGATTGAAAGTTCATTATTTAAATTAAAAAGTTATCAAGTTTCTTATTTGCTCACTTGTTTTTTAATCGTTCTTTATATAATGTCTGCACCAACTAACCAGAGCATTCCTTTTACAGTACCTTAGGCCTAACTAGGCATAGTTTAGCCTGGCCTACTACTACTAGGCTAGAACCGTTTCGGCACCGAAGAAGTTTAGTCTGTCCTAGGCCCTACCTCCGCCTACCTTGTGTCGGTTTGCCCTCCTGGGCTCTGGTACGTGTCCAATGTTCTGAGATGTTCATAATTACTAAAGGATGCAATGATATGGTAACACTACCAGTTGTAGAACCACATGCCATAACAGAATCTTCATTAACTGGCATTTCGGATTCATTATTTGTATTTGAGGTTCCAGGCTTGGAAGTTTCATCGTCGACCTCCATTTTCGACATGTTGATTGCGCCCTCTCTAGCTGGCAAAAATAATAATAAAGCATATCAAGACGAACCAAAGATACTAGAAATACAAGATAGAGTTCTCCACTCAAAAAAAGTGTTCCACCGTGTTCCACCGAAATGCATGGTGGGAATACGAACAATGGGACGCCCCCTACAGCTGGATCTAAAAAAAACTTGTGCCAAACTTTCGTTACCAAGTCACGTATTTTATTATCAATTCTCAATTACAAAAATTGTACACCGCGATGCGCTATGGCTACGTACGGTATAGATGTGTGGCGTTGCTGTGCAGTAAATTGCAACACATCATACAAACAGGGTCATAATTTATATCGATTTCCAAAGAATAGAGAAAGGTAAAATATTGCACTGACATTAAACAAAAAATTAGCTATATATATTATAAATATATATTAACATTTCGTTTTTTTAAACTTGACATATGAATTAGCCTAGGCCTATTGACTTGCGTAGCTAAGATATTGAAGAAAAATAAATAAATAATTAGACTAGCCTAAAATAATGAAAAAAGGTACTAAATATTACTCGTTCGTATAATAACGCTAGTATTGTATGCAGTTAGTTAATTATGAATGACGTGAAAATGGAGCTCTTTTAGTAAAGGAAATTTAATAATATTAATACAGGTCTAACTCTAATTACTGAAGACCACTTTTTGGACCGGGATTTCCATGGTCTACCTACCTAGCATAGCCTATATCCGCTTTTTAGTCCCTAATTAGAATAATAAAGCAATTTTTTTTTTTACTTAATCTGGGACCAAAGTCTAAGTAATAATAAAAACTCTTTTTATATCTTAATATATATATACATATTTTTTAAAATATTTTTTTAACCGGGAATTGATTATATAGGCCTACAGTAATTACATAAACTTGTGTTGTAAATAAATTTTAAGTGAATGCACATTGTTTCAAAACTACATATATGGAGTTCTAATTTGTGATTAAAAAATATATACTGTGAGTATCAGAGCTGTATTCAATGTCAATAATAATGGGTTGGAAAAGCATTGAAATCCTGAGCTAACAGGCCCACCAATAGTATGGATCAATAAAGCACAAAAATTCATAATGATGACTGTATTTTGCACTTCTTTACCGACGTCCCGTACCGATGTTTTTACCAATCACTTTTTATTTACTAGATATAAAAACAAACTGGAATAGACACCCAGACAGTGACATCGGTGAATACATAACCTCCTTGGTGGTGGTAAAAATTGTTGCTATTATCCAAATAAAACACAAAACAATTAAAGCATAATCATGAATCAGTAAAGAATAAAACAACAATACAGCGCAGTTTTTCACTCTTAGTGAAAAAGTTTTCCTGCATTGGTGGAAAAGGAAGGGCGCCTTTTGCGTCTGGATATACTTAGCAGCAGAAGGGCGCCCTGTACGTTGGGCACGAAGTATAGGAAACTTGCATGGTTAAAAAGAAGGGCGCCGCCTACGTTGGGCACGACTTCCGCCTCATTTTTACAACGCGAGAACTCTATCTTGGACGAACTATACCTGAAATTATGCATGACGTCAACATACAAAGCCACGCCACTCGGCTCTGAACCCGTTGTATTTTTAGCAACTACCCCATCAATGGTGCATCCACAGTAAAACTATAATAAAAAAAATAAAAAAAACAACCAACAAAAATCAAAACAACACAAAAAAGATGGTATGATTAGGAACAATCTTAAGATTTAATACCAGCAGGGAACAGTGAAATTCCACTTCCCGATACAAATACACAGTTTGCAAATACAACAGAGTAGTCATTCTCAGCAAAACAAATTATATACTTGTACTAGGCCTACAGTAGCCTAGTAGTAGTAAGCTTCTTGTAGGTTAGTGTGCTGTAAGGTATAACATGAAGTAAGAACGACGGAATAGGAACAGTGCTATTCGGAACGGCTTTAAATTATGAACGGAACATTGTATACTATAATAATTATTTTGTAATAAAAACTAATCACCAGGTCAAGGTGCCAAGCCTACCACGTTTCATAATTCGACGTCGAATCGAGACCTTACATGATAACACGAAATATAGAAATATCAGTAAAAGCATGAATCCTGTTATAAATCTATGGAATTAAATAGAAAAGTTGTTACAATCATGTTTCTTACCTTAGTATTTATAGCACTGTATTTACTTCTAGAAATTATTTTATTATAAGGACAAAATAATACCATGGGAACGAAGTCCTATGGAAGGGGTGGTGCCAGGATTTGCCTGAAGGGGTGGTGGGGAGGGGGCGCCGATGTCCCCCCCCCCCCGACGAGAGCAAAGCGGGCGTGGTCGAGCGTTGTTCAAAATCTTTCGAAAGTGGTCCAGGTTGCCGCGAAGCCCAAAAAAATGTGACAATTTCTGAGTTTCAAAGGCTTATTTAATTAATTTTTTCTTCCTGACGAATGGTAGTTTTTCTAACCGACGAGGGGGGAGGGGGTGGGGTGCAGCTCTTCCCGACGCCCACCCCCACTGTCCCATGAAACTGAAGAAAGGCCACCCCCAATGATAATTAATTTTCTAGAAAGACCAAAGCTGCTTAATTAATATTAATAATAATAAACTCCATTTATACAGCGCATATTGCGCGGCAGTACCTCTATACACTTTTACATAAAATTATAAAATAAAAAACATGATGACTTAACAATAATATAGTATGGTGTGATAGCAACAAAAGATTCTCAAACGACTGTCTAAGTCCCAAAAGTAGAGTTTTGTTTTGTTTTGTTGTTGTTTTTTTAATAAGAAGGGAGACATGTACGGCCTCCATCTTCTAAATTTCTTTTTTTATCCTACGTGAACTTACACCAAAGGTCCAATCCAATCCAACAATTCCATAATGATTAACTATGTCGATAGAACGACACACATTGACCAAGTTAAATATAGGCCCTATGAGATTATTCTGTGTTGAAACTCATGAAGATCTAACATGGGACTATACAACATTATTGTATGTGTTGCCAGCATCAGTATTGAATGATTTTGGCCTCATTCACTCTAAAACTTGAAGGCTGAGGCTATCGGCACTGCCGCAGTGCCAAAAAAAGCTGCTGTTTTCTATCGGCACTGCCGCAGTGCCAAAAAAGCTGCTGTTTTCTATAGGCACTGCCGCAGTGCCAAAAAAGCTGCTGTTTTCTATCGGCACTGCCACAGTGCGAAAAAAGCTGTTATTTTCTATCGGCATTATTGCCGCAGTGCGAAAAAAGCTCCGATTTTCTATCGGCACTGCCGCAGTGCCAAAACACTGCAGTTTTCTATAGGCACTGCCACTCGAAAATCTGCTGTTTAATTATCAAATGGATGTTTTTATCTATAGATTATGGTATCAGTAATTGGTTCGATCTAGCCTAGCCTATAATATTGTTAACATTATATTATATATGTTTTACAATTAAATTATAATTATTTCTAATTATTAAATATATATACATAGCCTATATCTAGGCCCATACATAAAACAAAAAATAAAACAACAAAAATTTAAAATAAAATAGTAGTAGTAGGCCCCCTAGTATTAGTAGTAATAATAATAATAATAATAATAATAATAATAATAATAATAATAATAATAATAATAATATAATAATAATAATAATAACAGTGCTCGAAATGAATAAAAATTGTTTAATTAATGAGATGAATCAGCATATATTAAATCAACTTGCGTCTATACAAAACCTGTTTTTTTTTAAATAAAGGTGTTGTCTATTTTATTCTGCTGTTTTAAAAAATAATCTTTATTTTCTATGATAATTTTATCCACATAATTCATGTTTTCAATGTTAGTATGGTTGATAAATAATACATAAAATAATAATAATAATAATAATAAT